AAAAAAAAAAAAAAAAAAAAAAAACCTCCCAGTACACCGACCAACAGGATAAAGCTCCGGATAGTAGAGAGATAATCGAAAGAAAAACTGATTCAAAGCTCTTGAAAAAGGGTATCCGGACCACTCCCCAAAGACAAGCCCCTATTTCAACCACCCTCTTCACCAGTCAGATCAATATTCCATCTCCTTCGCCATCGTCTTCAAACACCCCGTCAACGCCAACTCCCTCCTCTTCGGTAACGACTTCGACCGTCCCATTCGCGACCGCTTGCCGCCCGGCTTCAACGCCGCTCTTCGCCTCGTCAAATGGACCATCGATCCGACGTTGGATGGCGATGCGTATGCCGATAAACCGTACCTGTATGGTCCGGCCGTAGCTTCGTGGAACCAGTTCTGTATTGGGGAAAAGATCCGAAAGGATGACGAGGTGCCGGGGATGCATCAGCTGGTCGTGGAAGAAGGGGGCGAGGGGTCCGGACTGGAAGTCAGAGAGCAAATGGGGATTCCGACGGGTGTGAGCGACCGGAGAAAGTATTTTCAGTCTGAAGAAGCTAGGACGGGCTTCGACTTTGAGGAAGGCAGGGTTTACTGGGTGGATTTTGGAAACCCTTACTTAGGGTTTAATGGTTGGTTTCCATCTTTTTCTTGCTTTCCTGTTGCACGATATCGTGGCTGATTTGGTTGTGGAAGATTTCTCGCTTCACCTTCCTGGAATTACTATCAATGTTCTTCCGTACATAAATGAGGATAATCATTCGCTGCGGTATGTGTTGAAGAATCGGGATACCGATGAGGTTTACCTGGTCCTGCTTTTTACGCTTGTTTTGCAGGGAACAGATGAGGAACCGTTGCATAAGGAGGAGACGGAGAGGATGAGAAAGGAAAGTAAGGAGCAGCATGAGAAGAATGACGGGAAGTTGGGGAGGTTTGAATGGGAGCCTGAGCCATCGGCTGATGATGTGGAGTAGGTATGTTATACAATATAGACCTATAGATACATATATCATTGCTTTGTTGGGCCACGGAATACTGAAGCAATATATTTTTGGTTTTATCTATGCCTGATACATATACACATGCCCTTGGCTCAGTTATACATCATGAAAGAACACCCATCTACAGCCTCTTCAGAACGTCGTCAAGGACCTCCTGGGTGGTAGCCTTTCCACCCATGTCAGGGGTGAGGTACTTGCCCTCGTCCAGGTTGGCATCAACGGCGGTGTAGATCTTGGCGGCAGCACCCTCCTCGCCCAAGAACTCTAGCATCAGGGCTGCACTACGCAGGGTGGCGATAGGGTTGGAAATGCCCTGGCCCTCAATGTCGGGCGCACTACCGTGGCAGGGCTCACCAATGGCAAAGCCGTCACCAACGTTGGCGCTGGGAACAAGACCCAAGCTTCCGACCAGGGCGGCAGCACCGTCAGACAGGATATCACCGTAGAGATTAGGAGCAACAATGACGTCGTAGTACTCAGGCTGGCGGAAAAGCTTGTACACCATCGAGTCGACAATCTGCTCCTCCACCTCCACGGAGGAGAAGCGCTCGGCGGCAAGAGCCTTGCGGGCAGTCTCACGGAAGAGGCCGTCGGTTTGCGACAGCACGTTGGACTTGTGGGTGATGGTCACCATGGGCTTCGAGCGCAGGCCCGCAGCGGGAGCCGCGTCGCGGATCTTCTGCCGGCGCAGGGCGATCTCTCCTGCAATGGTGGAGATCCGCGATGAGGCATTCTCGGAGATCCGCTTGATAGCCTCGGCAACCTTACCGTTGGGGGTGTCCTTGGTCTGCTCCTCCTTAACGTACAAGTCCTCGGTGTTCTCGCGGACGATTACCAGATCGACAGGGTTCCGGCCACTGCCAATGGTAGACTTGACTGGCCGGACGTTGGCATAGAGGTCCAGCTTCTTGCGGAGAGCGACAATAGGCGACGAGTAGCCAGCGACCTTGGTGCTCGGGGAGCTATGATACAAGTTATTCAGTAAGGTACGAAACATTATGATGACAAGCAGCGTGTTTTACCTGACAGCTCCAAACAAAGCACCGTCACACTCCTTCTTCAAGGTCTCGACAGTCTTGTCAGGCAGGGCAGTGCCGGTCTGCTTGAAGGTATCGAAACCAGCATCCAGGTTGACGAAGCTGAAATTGAGGTTGAGAGACGCCGGAAGAGACTCCAACACTTTCCTACCGGCCTATATCATGGTGGTTGTTAGAATTTCCAATCACCTGTTTTCAGCAAAGAGCTTGTCGAGCTGTGAGGTATATACCGGAATGACCTCCCGGCCGATACCGTCACCGGGGATGAGACCTAGAGGATGATATATCAGTTCATGTTCGCATACAGACAATCTACTACATATTAGTAGAAGAGGATGAATTGACCTATGCGAAGTGTCCTAGCAGCAGCCATGGTGCAAACTTTGGAGGGTGATACTGGAGTTGAGAAAACGTCCGGTCAACGGAAAGCCGTAATCGGAGTGGGAAGGTCATTTGGATGCGGAGGCGGGAAGAATATTGATCCGGGGGGGAGATACACACATACGGAAGTAAACAAACTTATAATCTATTATATTTGGAGATTTCAGCATTGAGGGGGAGATTTAGATTAATTCATGCTTAGACGTTGATGGACCAAAATGATGCTTATCACTCTTTGTCTTGCCAGAAAGTATTTTTGCATTGCATTATGTGAAACGCATTTATTGGCACTTATTAGTAGTATGTGTACTCGGAGCATATTGTATGTGCATGTACGGAGTACATACGGAGATATAAACAACTCGGGGTACTCCAGTCTTAACCATGGAATTGACTCCTGAAAGAACACGTGAGTAAGAAGTATCGTTAAATTATTATTATTATTATTATTATTAATAGTTAAACTACTTCATACCAACGCATATGAACTAATTCAAGTAGTACAAAGTAGTGCAATGCAACCATCCATCGTCTAGAAAGAAAGAGGCAACACAGGATCTCGCTAGCCCCAGGCACGTATTATTCATTCGTCCTTACCTGACCTGCAATCTGGCCTTTTAGGAGATGTGACATCGATGGGGCACGCCCGTTTGCCGGGATTGTCCAAGGTAAAACGGACCGGCAAGGGATTCCGTCAATATATTGGCCTGGAGCAATAAAGAAAGAAAGGAAATCCTGTGACAAGGAGTGGGTCAAACGATGAAACTATGAGTCCACAATTAATCGAAAGGGGTAATTCCCAGGAACATTCGTGACGAAGGAGAATCATTAAACTGAAGCGCGGATCCGCTGCCCCCTGAAACCGTTGCCTCAGGCTGCAGGGTCGAAGCCAGAATGTCCCTCCACATCCCCGTTGCTGGGGCCACTTCTCTTCCTTTCCTTCTCTCTCTCTCTGCTCTTCTTCTCTTCTCCTCTTTCCCCCACCCCTCTCTTTTTCTTCTCTCCTTTTCCCTTTCGTACCGTCTGGTAATTTCAATCCTTCCTGTTAATTTCTCAACGCGAATTTCTATGTCGGACTCATCATTCTGTCATTGATATCCCATTATGCTTGACTTCCACGGTGGCTCGCTAGATTGCTGATTCGCTCTCCACTCGAACTGTTGCTTCTTGTTTATATCACGTCACCACCCGAGAAGCGCGTTCAACCGTGTTGACAACCGCACCCACAACGGTGCCGTCATTTTCTGTTCGCATATCATAACAAAGATCTCTTTCCAGTCGTTCACCACCCAAGCTCGCGCCAACAGTCCCGCTACGTTTATTCCGCTCACTCCGAGCATCGCCACGCTTCAACCTCCCTGTCTCCTTGATATCCTAACTTGACGCTATGCCAGATACGGGTGCTCATCCAGGGGTGAGGAGCTTGCTCGCCAGGTTCGAAAACAACAATAACAACAACAACAACAGCCAGAATACCACGTCCCCACCCTCCCGCGGTCGATCTCCCATCGGTTCTGAGCACTCGGGCTCTAGGCCTCTATCAAAAGTGCGTGCGAGCTTCATAGCTGTTGATGGAGCCACTCAATCTGGTGCTATTGCCGGGTTGAGAAGTGCAAGTAGTCGCAGTGACAGCCCAGCTGCTCCCCCGTCGAGGGTGAGGAGTTTCAATTCAGATGACCTGAACGCCCCTTTGAAAAGTCCCTTGTCGTCCCCAATCAGCAATGGTTTAGATAACGAGCAAACCTCGAGTGAGGTCAGGTCAGGCGACATGGTGGAAACAGTGATCACACAAGTGGCCTCCCCCGAAAAGGGTGGAAAGCCCCAGGCTAAGGAAGCAGCGACCCCTTGTAAGGAAAGAGACCCCATCTTGACCGTCTCTGCTGCTCCATCCCCGAAGAAGACGCAGGCAGTTACCAAGCAGCCGTCCACCATCCAGGTGGATAAAGTTACATCCAATCAATCTGCGTCCAAATCGACGCCTACGATCCTGAAATCTGCGGCACATCCGCGGACTCCAACATCTCCTGCCAAACCCGACCATGTTAAGGCCTCTAAGCCGGCACGCTCCCCCAGACCTCCTGCTACCAGAGACTCGTCCAAAGCTCCAACCACCAAGCCAAGCCGTTCGTCTCTAAACACGACAGCCAAAACTGCTACACGGCCTGTTCGCTCTTCCATGCCGGCACGCGAGGCAACGAAGTCGACAGCGACGAGTGCAGCCCGCACTAACAAGCCGGAACCAAGACCTCCAACCAAGCCGGCTCGTCTGCCAGCTTCGGCAACAACATCAACTCTATCATCGGCCGCTAGAGGAGGAGCTACTGGAACACCAACCGCTAGCCTATCCCGGAAGCCGTCAAGTTTGAAGAATGCAACGAGTGGGACCTACCGCACGATTACTACTTCTAGCGTTCGCAAGCAGACTTCCCAACCTTCTCTCCAACGTCAACCAGCACATGAGCGCCCGCATTCCCGAGTAAGCAACACTAGTTCTAAGGCAGTTGACGAGGGATTTCTGGCTAGAATGATGCGCCCCACCGCTAGTTCTGCTAGCAAAGCTCATGAGAAGGTTGAAGTGAAGAGCCCACCCCGGTCTTCACGGGTGACTCGGACTCCGGCAAGAGCAGTTGCTTCGAAGACGGAGGCCCACAAATCGCGCCCAACGAAGGAGAAGAGTGTGGCTAGAAAGCCACAGGAGAAGCCGCAGCCAGTGTCCAAAGAGAAAGAAGAGCCGCAGGCAAAGGCAGTTGATCCCAAAGAGGATACTGCACATGTGGATGTTATTGAGCCTCAATCCAAGGCTGCGGACGAGCCTGTTCAAGCGGTTATCGAATCATCAATTGATACAGTCGAGAAGGACCGCGTAACTGAGAAGCAGTTGGAGGATTTGCCCGTCGAGTCCTCAGTGGCTTCTGAAAATGCACCAGTTGAACCCTTAGTTGAGCTGGAGCATCCTATTCAAGCCGCAAAGGTCCCCGAAGAACAGATTCTTGCCATTCCATCAACTCAAGGACCCACCATCTCTGCCGACGAGGCGGTAGACTCCCAGAGCGTTGAGCCCTCTGAACTTTCTCGCATTGAAGAGGCCAAGGAACAGACCGGTGTTGAGTCTCCAGCTGCCACTGCTGAAGCGAAGCCAGCTGAGAACGTTACTGAGACAGAGGTCAAGGCAGACGACATTGATGTCGACATCGGCAAGCTGTCTCTCAACTGAAGAGCGAGCACAACCAAGACAATCATGATGTTACATGAATGTCTATATTTACATCCATACTTCGTTTCTTGTGACTTATATTTTCTTCATACCCGTCTTATTCGTGATGCGACCTGATACATGTTATCGTCTACAGGGACCATTTTTTAGCCGTCTTTGGTTTAGTTGTGCTGCCTTTTTTTATCTTTTTTATTTTTTTTTTATTTTTATTATTTTCTGTTTCGAAAGCATCTCATTCACAGTATGAGCAGGGCCGACGATGTATGCATGTCGGAGCATTTTCTGGTGGAGTTCTAGATTCCAGTTGCTTTTAGCGTTAGGGCTTGCATATTATCCCACTTGCATATGTACTTGGGAGGAGTCTAATCAGGTTCTTGTTTCTTTTCCGCCCTTTTCCCTTTGATTCGCCTACTTGCCTTTTTCTTTTTTTTTATCTCAGGTCTTTTTACTTTCTTCAATTCTCCTGTTATTATATTTGTCCCGGGTCTTCTAGTTGTTTAATCCTTTACTTTGTATTGTTGCTTGAGCTTTGACAGTGCAAGTTTTCTCCGCAGTTTAGCATCACTGTCGGAGCCGTGGGCTTTACTCTTTTATATCTTCTTCCCCTTCTTTTTGGGATTTTGGTCAGCATTTACTGTCTTGGGTAGTGCGTGAACAAAACTCCGTTTTTCCAATAGCTTAGAATCCGAAATCAAGGACTCTGAACCAATTCAAGGAATCGCCCAAGATATAAATCCGATATTATGAATACTAACGCCACGTAAAATTCCCAAACGTGATTTGCTATTTTGTCGTTTCGTGTACGGGTATAACAACAGCGATACAGCTTTCAGGAGCGCCGAGCACCAAAACATTTAATCTGGACTCCGTGTATCAAATTTTCTTCTCCAGCTTCTTCAAGAACCTATTAACACTGCTCTCCATTCGATGGGCTCTTTCCTCCAAATTTCGAGGTCGGCCGGAGTTTTGTATTGACTTCTGAGCTATTTTCTGGGAATGTGAATTGATCTCTGCTTCAGTGGGCCGGTACAGCTGCTTGTGGATATCATAATCATTTACCACTGGTTGCTGCACGGCTGCTTTATCATACGAGTAGTTTGAGTAGCCGCCAATTGGGGGTGGGGGTGGAGACGCCGGTTGGATTTGAGGCTGGCCGCCATATAAATTCTGGGTCTGACCGTAGAGATGAGCATTGGGATCCTTAGGGGGCGGAGCAAATGACATATTCACTGGCGGGTGGGAACTAGATTGGTGACCCCCGCCTCCCCCGGCAAGGAACGATGGCGTATAGGATGGGATGCTGGGTGGGCTCTGAATGGATGACCGAGACGAGAACGAACCGGAATGTGTTAGGCCGGCACTCGGTGGCGGCGATGCGTAGGTCCCAGGCATAGTGTATGGAAGCCCTTGACTGGTTGAGGGAGGTGCAAAACCTCCTCCACCGGTGATCTGGGACGGTGGTGTGAACGGTGCTCCGCTGTCTGCTGCTACAGCCGCTGCGAGTCCGGTTCCATCCCCGCCGTCGACCGGAGGGGGGGTCTTCTCTCGATGTTGGATTGGTTCAGGCGCGGCTGGTGCTGCAGGGTTATATGGAAGAGGCGTAAATTGGGCAGGGTCGTTTCGTTCTTCTGCAGCAGGCGGAGTGCTATTGACCGTCTTCTGTGCTGTGGCGGGTGGACCACCAAGTGGAGGTGGAGGAGGAAGATTGCTTGGTATTGAGAATGTCTGGGTAGGGGGCGGGGAGCTGGGCGCAGGCTCTGATTGAGAGTTACGAGTCTGCCCGTTCTGGTACGCCGGATCTGTGATGGCCACGTTTTCTAGTTGTTGTACAACTGTACTGACTGAAGCCTGGGGTGGAGGCGGATATGGATGCCTGTCCGTCTCGATCTGCGAGGGAGACAAATAATTCTCCATCAGGTTGAGGAAATTATCTGCATCGTCTGACGTCCAGAAATAGATGTCCAGCGTGTGCACGCGTAATTCCTTGTCCTCGCCATACGGGTCAGTGCTTGGTAATAGCCATTCATGAGGACTGGCATTCGGTGGTGGTGGGAACACCTGCGCGCCCTGTGAAGGCGGACGGCCGTCCACGATTAATGTACACAGCGTTGGAAACTGGGTGGAATGACGCAAATAGATCTGATCCAGAGCTGGACATCAATCAGCGAGGAAAGTTAATATATGCGGAGGATGGATGGAAAAAGCACCAACCGCCATTAAATGCATCTTGGTCAGGGGTCCCAGGATTATTCGCTACTTCAATCCTTGTCTTACGCTGCACCGCATTGTGATAAAGATATAGATAGGAGCCCTTATCAAACCGGTGATGGAGAGGCTTGGGAGTCGGAGCTGTGAAATAATAATGGATATCGGCAAAGCTATGAGGGGATCAGACTAGGTTTATCGTATTTGAAAGAGGGAGAGAATTTGCGGGGAAAGTGTACGACTTACACCGTCAGCGTACGCTCTTCACCCGGCAACGGGGGCATAATGGCTTATCAGTGCTACTATCTATATATTGATAGTATAGCAAGATACAAGAGCAGTTGTTGAAGGGGGAGGTGGACAGGCATGCAAAGAAGTACACGATAAATTATTTGGGGACAACATTATATATCGATGGGAACGATTCAATGAGGGGAAGCAATTAATGTGACTGGGGCCTGTAAGCTGCAGTTGTCCAGAAGGCCGGCGGCTAGAGGGCGCTTCGAGATGCATCCTGGCGCCGTGATTAGTTGATGCCCTACTAGGCTGGCGGCCTATAGGAACCTCCCGTCGGAAGCCGTCATTTCGTTTCTCCGAAAATTTCCTTTGAGCTTCCGCATCATCACATCAACGTGTATTACGGAGATCTTACACTTGAAACGGGGAGTCTTCTTGCTGTTATCCCCTCTTCTGAGTCCTTCTGATCAAGAGATTCGGCCTTCGGTAGGTGTAGTTGTCCTCTCCTCTATCTCATAATGGAAAAAAAAAGGCAGTGCTCATACCTACTCTCCCCCCGTAACCAGTGATTTTATCGGTTTTCCCGCACACCATCTGAACACTCAAGGGATCCCCTTCAATTGGGCCAATTCTGGGAACTCACAATCCAAAATGTCTCTTGTCAATCTCGCCCACGTTTGCTCCCATCTAAACAACGCCACCAAGGCCCGCTTGGGTCTCACATCCATCCCGAACACGCAGCTCCACCTGAAATTGTGCCTGGCTCTCCAAAACTCTGGTTACATCGCTTCTGTCGTCCGTGGAGGCCCGACTCCCCCTCCTCAACATACTCTTCTGGGTGTTCCGTCGGTGAATGATGAAGTTGAAGGTGTACAATCGTTGACCCAAAGCAATGTCGCCTCAAGGCGTCTTTGGCTCGGGCTCAAGTACTGGCAGAGCGATCCTGTCCTCGGCAAGATGAGCATGGTCAGCAAGCCCAAGAGAAGGATCACGATCGATGTCGCAGGCCTCCGAGAAGTGATTCGTGGCGAAAAGAGTGGATATGTGGAAGGCTTGCGGTCCCCCGGTGAAAGTTTATACCTATCGACGGACCGCGGTATTATGGAAGCGCGAGAGTGTGTTGAGAAGCAGGTGGGAGGCTTGGTTCTTTGCCGGGTGCTTTAAACAATTGAGATGGTTGTGGAAAGGCAAAACAAGATAGAGCGTTTCTTTCATATGTGTTGGATGCCGTGGGTTTTGCATTTGAACCGGAGTTTGGTCAGTCGCAATGCCTCCGCCCATGATTTGTATCTTCTTCTTTTTTATGTTTGCGACAGCTGGGATGGATACCTTGTACAGTAACATAGGATCGACTTCATGTATTACTTATTTTTCCTTCATTTGTGCTTCTGCCTATGACCTGACTTGTTTTTTTTTAGACCGTCTACTACTATTATACAGCGTTGTGTACATGGCTTTGGAACTGGATGGGACCGACTAGATCAAATAGTAGAAGAAGAGTAAGTCATGAGGAAATCAAAACCTTCGAGCAGAGTGGTAGCCCTAAAGGACCTACATCTATTCAGTATATAGATTACCACTTAAGAGAGGAAGGGGCTAGCCGGAAATGGAATTCGTTTGCGGAAGCCCAGGCAAAGAAACAACCACTCTTGGAAGTCTTCCCCAATTCATCTCCATAGGTTTTGCAGGTACAAAGGCCTCATTAATAATCTATTAAAACACTCCTTTCTCCCTACATCAGTTCTAGATTCCCAAACCGTAGCATGGTAAGACTTGCACGATGGAAAAAGTTCCTGATATCAGGCGGAACCGGTTTTGTCGGTGCGGCCATCGCCAGAGCTCTTGCAGAGAAACATCCCGAATGTGCCATCACCATCATAGATCGCAACCCCCCTGGACCGGTCCATACTCTACCAGATGGTACCGAGTTCATCAAGGTCGATGTTACTATCCAGGAGAAGGTCAGCAAGGCAATAGAGCAGGTCAGACCGGATAATATTATCCACGCGGCCAGAATTGTTCTAGCCCTGAGTGAACGGTTTGGAAGAAGGCTTGAAGGGCATGTTTGGAAAACTAATGTTGGAGGAACCGAGCATATCTTGCAGGCCACTAAACAGAGTGGAGTCAAGGGCTTTATTTACACCAGTTCCTGCTGTGTGGTGACGGACCAAATGAGTGTACCGTACCACAACTTCGATGAACAATGGCCTACACCACCTTCCTCACTCATCTATGGCGAGTCGAAGGTTGATATCCCGCTTTAAATATATGTGGTGTATCTAAGGGTGTAGTCTCTGACATGCTGATGCATATCCTCGCATCTAGGCTGCTGCAGAAGCTATCGTTCGTAAGGAATCAAGTGACACCATGGCCACATGTTCTCTCCGGCCTTCTGTGCTATGCGGACCGGGTGACGACTGGCCGGGCCCTGCAATACATGCATGCATAGCCAAGGGCGAAACACCGTTCATCGTCGGTGATGGCCAGAATTTGTGGGATGTGACATACGTCACCAATGTTGCCGATGCTCATGTCCTGGCTGCCGAGAATCTGATGTCTTTCGAGACTGCAGCCGGTGAAGTCTTCTGTATTCAAAACAATGAACCCATCACCTTTAGGGACTTGTGCCTTGCCATATGGGCTCATTTTGGACACACGCCCTCGTTTGAGATTCACATCCGTGAGGCACACTGGCTTATCTTGTTGGCTTGATCTGTGAATTCTTGACATGGATCTTTGGGACAACCACTACCTTGAGCCGCGGCAGTGTTAGGGATGCATGCTCTGTTCGTTATGCCAGCGGCGAGAAAGCAAAGCTGATACTAGGGCTCAGGTCCCAAGTAGGGATCGAAACGGGTGTTCGACTCACTTGTGAGGTAAGTAGACAATCGTGCCTACCCATAGACTTCTCATGTCCTTATTTACTCGGCTATCTAGGATTATGCTCGACGTATGGGGATCGAATCACCAATGTAGCAGGCATGTAAGAAGGGTGAATGATCTCCGTGTGCATCTCAGCCAAGAATTACTGCATTGACAGTGTAACCCTCCCATCAATGAAGTTGGCGAATACGTGTTGCTCTGACGTGACCGTTGTATTCCACGAATCATCTACGAGCCTCAAATCTTCTGGGCAGTTTGTTGGGCTGCAAACATGTCTACGTACTACGCGGTATCTCCCGGTATGCACCGTATAGGACTAGCCTATGACATTCCTTTTATCCCGTTTACTTCTCTAACCTGGCCTTAATCCGTGGTTGTCTATCTAAAAGCCCCGTTTGTCTTTCTTCATAGCCAACAGGATCGATAGAACAGTAGGACCTCGAGAAGATATTGTTCCGAAGAGAACCGGATAAACTTTTGCAGCACTTCGTATCTGTTAGTTGGCCGCGAACTGAAAGAGGAATCCAATAATTGAATTGTTCTCGGCCTTTCCTGGCAGCCAAACTGGATCACCCCGCAATCCACAGGTACATATGACGAGAACTGGCCCGCAGCTTTGGGCAACAAAACCCGCAGCCAGTTGTATGCCCAACTTGTGTCAAGAAGCATCAGGATCCCAATGAGGATGGCAAAGATTCGCGTGCTCCACCGTGGGTGTCCCAATTTCGGGCCGCCATCTGTTGGAACCTGGCGCTTTTATGGTCCAGTCCACCGATCTTGTTCAATCCAAGTACCATTATAATGGTAGACACTATGGGTCGTCGGACTTGTGTGGCCCCATCTTTTTAGTACTCCCGTCGACGGATCCGTCAGTGATCAGCGCAAGCTATAGGCGATGGAGTCAGCAGCGGTACATCAGTTGCAGCGACAGTGGCTTCGATGGTGAAAGCAAAGACCAATCCGGGGTAATAGAGAGAATCGTTATGAAGGAGAAGAAGAAGAAGAAGAAGAAGCAGGATGGATTCCGTAGCACCTGCTTGGCTGCGTCCTGAAGGCTCAGGCAGGCGCCCTTAACCCGAACGGGACCAACCGGGGCTCCTTTCTTTCTTTCTTTTTTTTTTTAACGAAGTATTTGACTTGACACCCAACAATCACACTCCGAATGGATCCCATCTTTCTCGCAGCCATACTCCACCCGGGATATGTGTGGGGATAACCCACTCAGTGCTGGAAAGAAACTCTAACCGCGAGCTTCCTGCGATATAATTGCTGCATGATCTCCGATGGAGCCAAGCCCTGAGACAACTTGTCACTCTACCTAGTGGATGCATGCGCCCTGCGCAATCCTGATATTGCTGCCCAAAACTCAGTGTAGGCGGGTATCTGTCGTCGGCTTCCCTCTTCCATTTCGATGTCCTATGATCCCTATGTCCTTTCGAGGTAGGATCAGCACCTGAATGCTGACCGGAATCTGCTCCTGATGGGTGCTTTCCAGCTTTTCCGGGTTGATCCCACGAGAGGTGCACCTCTTCCCCCCCTAAAGGGCAGTGCAAGGAAGCATCTGATTGAAGGTGAGACAAAAGACGGACAAGGGAGCTTGGGTCAGGCACCTGCCTGTTCCATACCTCGCGCTTTCGTGATGACTGTTATTTATCCTCATCCAGTCGTTATTTACGCCCCTTTTTTGATCTCTCTCTGTAAACCTTGTCATATGGGGCCTGGTGTTGAGAGGATTTGATTGGTGACCCGACCCTGCTGTATATTGGTCTTCTCCGCAAGCCTTGTTCTAGACAGGAACGGAGTCCCCTTTTGCGAGTGTCCTTGGCCGTTGCAGCGTGGTGTTCTTCATACCCTGCCTATCTATATCTGAGATATCGTGGGACGGAAGAAGCAAAAGCTCGCCTCGGTCCACAACGATTGGGCCCATATCCTTGCCTTTGCTTACCTAGATGTTTATATTAAACCAGAGCTCCCTAGCTTCGCAGTGAGACATTGCTCAAAAACAATCTTTGGTTTAGCAGCTCGGCAGCCTGAAGAATATCCAACTAGCCCTATTTTGTGGTCTCTTTGCCAATTTCCGTGCTTAAATACAACCTCATGCGTCGGTGCTATCCACCCGAGCAATAGCAATGTCCTCAACCTTCAGTTATTTTTCGGGGACGTCAGGCAGTGGCTCTTGCACGCACTCCATTAGCAGTGAATCCGATTCCTGGTCCCGCCACAGGTCAGTGCTAACTGGCAAATCCCCTTGTCTCTCCCTTGTTTCCTGTTGTCTAAGGTTATCGAAAGAAGCTCAAGTGCCATCATGCATCAACCACCACCAATCTACGGGACTGCTAGCGAGCCTCCGCTGGTTTATCAACCCCATCCAAGGTATCTATCTAATCATGCTGTGTCGCTTCACTTCCCATTGGGAAGAGATGGTATCGTGCTGAGGTAAACTTATCTAGCGCCAAACGATTTTCTCCCCCACATCGTGATTGTGGTCCTCTAGACACTCAATCTGTTACCGCAAGGCCGCCAAAGAAAGTATCGCCGGAGTTTGAGTTTCCCATGCCATACAGCGGTCTTCCGGTGACTTCACACGCCTCTGTTGGGATGACTGTCTCTCCCGTGGGGCCTTTGCCGCGTCCGATTCTTTCGCGAGAGTGGGAACACCCCGCTCACCTGCCTCCGGAATCGCTTAGGCGCGATTACAACTTTGTTAAGCCAGCAGAGAATCCGGAGTACCTGGTTGAAAGGAATAGCCGACGTAATTCTGAAAAGATCAAAGGCACTGTCCGTTACCACTCACAGAGACGACCATCCAACCGGGATGAATTTGATGGACCCCATCAGTTACTAGATATCCCCTCTCCGCGTATTATAGCGGCTCAGGGAAGGGATCTTCCTCATCTTCCTACTAATCTTGATGTTTCAGAGCAAGATCGAATCCTGAGCGCAGTGAATGACCGGCTGTCGCAATGTGCTTTTGACTTTGTTGCAAAGTATCAATTTCCGATTCCACTGGAACCGGACAAGAGACAGGTGAGGATTCCCTCAGACCGTGAATGGACTGAGTGGGTATATCTCCTTAAAAGACTGGCCACCAAGCGCCGCATTCCCGCCCGGGTCTTGTATAATGGCCAAATCAAGCAATTAGTCACGGTGCTGGAAAACTCCCTGGAAATGAGGCATGCTGCCAAGCATCAGTCTAGACCCATCAAGGATGATCGAAATGTTCTCCAGCTAATTTCAGCCGGCACCCAAGTGGCAAAGATCCTTAAAGATGCCAGTGCCATGGAGTACTTAGACCGTCTTTATGTTGACACGGAGAAGCGCATTCAGGATCGACGTACTCGCCGGGTAAAGTTCGCCAATCCATGAACAAGCCCTGGGTCTTTCGATTTTGAATGTGATATCTCCACACAATGGCCACTTTCCTTTTTATGCCGCAGACTATGCCCTACTGGAAACTATCATGTCCCATGGCCTATGGTACACTTCCATTGCTCCTTAATAGGCTATTTCCAGGGATGGCTCCTTCCGGTAGCCAACGTTTTGGCTTTGGATCATCCGGATATTTGATTCACTCCACTTGGTCGGAATATAATCCTTTCTCGGACACTGATGATTCATGAATAACACAGCATCCCACATTTGGCCCATGAACTCCTAAGCCATCCGGAGAATTTTTCCCTTGATGAAACCCATGGATAATGAGATATACCGAGGCCCAATCCCAAGCCGTTCCTGGCCGTCCATTAAAGCGTACGTTGCACTAGTTATTGTGCAGATAGTGATGTTGTGGCTCTTTTTTATGCCCCCTTTTTTCCCCCACGTTGCTGGATAGTCCTTGGTTTGTTTCTGTCTTTTCGATGACGTTCTTCTGCTTTTTATGTCTACTGTATAATCAGGCCGGGAGGATAGCCATGGGCATTGCTTTTGCCTACTCCTATGTTCAAGGCCTGGATTGATTTAATGATCCTGGACTTTGTGTATTTATGGTGTGGGTGTCTGTTTGTCATTTCTCTATCCGACCTTGGTGGACGATGATGGTTTTGGTGGTCGGCCTCACGAAATACCGTTTGATTATGCATTACTGGATGATTGAATGCCTGTCATGTCACCTTTTGTCTTATTCATAGACTCCTGGCTGCAATGGTCTGATTTTTCAATCCGATGTGCTATTATTTCCATGGTGGCCTAAACTGCAGACGTGCCCCGATTGATGCAAAGGACAACAGTGACAATACACTATTCTACAAGTCAAACTACGGTGGGATGCGTCTTTCCGAGCTCTCTTATTATCACTGATCGAAGGGAAAACTCATTATGACACATTCCCTGATCGACTTTGCTGCTAATACGCCTGACTGAGCTACACACATACACAGTGAATGGCGAGGGAGAAAAGACACACGATCAATTATGCCGACAATAAGAGAAAGAAGTGGCTTGTTCAAGGCCCGAAACAAAGGTCAAGGATAAGGATATTTTGATATTTTGACGGCTGCACTCATAGCCCCTTCATATTCTTAGTATTCGTAGCCCATACGTTGTCCGGGGCCCAGGAAGAGCATGATGCTGTGGCACTATTAGTCAAATTTTGCACTCGAGGGTTGCATCGAGCCTCTGATTATTGTTAATTATTATTACTAGGTAACAAGACCATGCAACCCATGTTCTTTTCAAATCAGGCGAGAAAAGGTAGAAGCCAACTGGAACGGAGGAATACATCAGATCATTGGGACAAGCGTTGAATTCTATGCTCTATCATCTATCATCCGCACAACACATTTGGGAAAAATCTCAACTATATCCAAGGTTCATCTATACAAGCAAGACAGACGCTGAGTCGTGAAAGCAGAACAAAAGGAGAAAGACGTATTTACTTAACAAAACATTCTCCTGAATAGAAGAACTCTAGGCATCCACCTCATGCGTTTCTGGGCGAAATCTTCGTCCAAACATGACCAAAAAATCGGACCGCAGATTGTAGTGCAGATAGCGGCGAAAGCCCGCCTGGAGTTCTCCAAGCCAGTAATCCAGCGACAGCTATGCTTGAAATGATGACAGATGCGAACCCGTAGCCAAGTATCCTGCCTTGCCTGTGTACTACCTTGACGACGTCCGAGTAGCGCTGTGTACTGAAGCTGACGCGAGCATACTGGGTCTTCCAGCCAAGGCTAGGCACATAGAGATCGAGTGCTTCCTCGACTGACTTACGAATTTTGTACAGTGGGGTCTTCACTCCCCAGCGCATCTCAAGGTAATTTTGTTTGGAGAGGTCATTGATGGCGTGCGCATCCGCCGTACGTTGATCGGTGTATGCTTGAAAAGCTGCTCGGCGCGATTCGCGGCGAGTCGCAAGACTTGCATTCAGATCAGAGGCGTCATGCTTATCCAAGAAATCGAACAAAACCCGGATATCTTCAAGACCTGCGTTGAGACCTTGCCCATAGAATGGGAGGATGGCGTGAGCAGCATCTCCGACGATGACGACGTTGGAGCCATAGTGGTGAGGCTTGCTTTTGATGCTAATTAGGGGGAGATGAGGGTTTTCTTTGAATTGCTCTTGCAGAGCTTCAGGGGTGATCAGATCCGGGGAGACACCGGGGAAGTTAGCATCGAAGGATTGGAACAGTTTCTGCGGTGAGCTCTCCAATTGCGCATAGTGGGCGGCTGGAGCAAACAGAGTACAGGTAAATGATTTGTCAGGCGATGGAAGAGCGATGAACATAAACTCCTTTCCGGGCCAGATATGCAGGTGGTTCGGCGAGATGCGGAAGTCACCGTTGTCCGATGGTGGGATCCGAAACTCGCACCACAGAGTGTCGATGTACTCCTGTTGGTAGTCTACTCGAGAATACTTCATCATGTGATACCTCGAGGCGGAATGGGCGCCATCTGCACCGATCATGTAATCGAAGCTTACTTCGATCTCAGGGACACGGTTGGAGGAGCCAGGAAGGGGAGTGTCCCCTGGGGCTCGACGTTCGAACCATGCTCGGTTTGATTGGAAATCAGCTCCGGTTAGTTTGTGATTGAAAAACAGTTTGACATTCGGCGTCCGCTCCAGCTCATCAAGCAAAGCATTGTTGAGTGTGCTCCTATCTACTGAGTTGATGGCCTATGAGTCTGTTAGATACCGCTCTTCACGAGACCCTCAAGCATCCGTCATGTAAGTACTAACTTGACCATGGACGTCGTATGCCTGCGCAGCTTCCCAGAACTTCCCATCGTCTCTCCCGTGAATCATACGACCATGCATCGGAATTGCATCGTTGAGAATCTTCTCGATCATGCCATCTCGATTGGAGCCCTTCAGGGACGAAATACCTCGTTCGGACAGAGCGAGATTGATGGACTTGGTAAAGTTCAATGGAATTGTAGTAGGATCACGAAGATCTGCAAGTTACTCCACAACGTGAGCAAAAAGATCCGCGAACAACATCCATGATGATGCATGTAATATAATATCATATATCAGATGATGATGTCATTCCAGCGAAAAGGAAATCAATTTCCGAGTCGAGAAACTCATATCCTCATATAGTAGATTTCGCACGATACAGCATGGGCACGTCATGGATGTAGGCTCACCTCCACGTAATTCGTACACTTCAACATCATCGCCTCTAGCGGCAGCATATAGGGCTGCGAGAGACCCGACCGGTCCGGCACCTACGATGACTACCTTCTGCTTCTTCGGAGATTCATGTGCCATGATGACTGTAAAACAGAAGGAGGTCCATTAAGTGAAGCGTACTTTGCTTCTCTTAAAATGAAAAATCATTCACTCTTATATTATGAATCAATATGGCTCATGGGATAGAACTTTGCTTCACGTGACTTCCACGTGAGTGACATCGGACGATTTCTCCCGAATTACAGCCAGCGTTGGTTGCGCCATCCTTTTCTACGCTTAAACTTTTCGTCTCCTAGAAGACATATCACCTGATGCCCAGCCGCGCGTCTACATGCGCTTAATCGTTGACCCTAGATAGTAGATAAACTAAACCTGGTACGGTTAACAGTCTTGCCACATTAGGAATAATCACTACTGGGCCGAGACTCGACCGATTCATCCGACGGGTGTATCCGCGGGGGATTTTCCCAATTTTTTCTACCTCTCGCAACCTTTTATCCGTATAGGATACCCCAATTTAATTTTGTTTCGCATTTGTTACGTTGTTTCTCCCCTTCGATTTACTTTCCTCTCTATTTCTTACAGTATGGCAGTGGAAACCGCGACTCGGAAATGTATGGGAGTGGATTGCGACAAGATCGCGGGGACTCTGCAGTGTCCGACATGCCTTAAACAAGGCACAGATAGCTTCTTTTGTTCACAGGACTGTTTTAAACGGAGTTGGGTAGGCTGCCTAGCGTGACCTGTAGGGTCCACGTACTTTACCCCCCTTTTCGACTCTGCGAGTATACTAATGTTGTTGTAGAGCGAGCACAAGACCATTCATAAAGCAAAGAGTAATATCCTCACCAACCTGTTTCCGCCCAAAGTAGTTTCTGAACCAGATCCAGCCACCGGCCTATTCAATCCTTACCCAGCCTACCCTTTCACCGGTTCCTTGCGACCTGTCTATCCACTTTCGGCCCGGAGAACAGTGCCCAAATCTATCCCTCACCCCGACTATGCTAAGGACGGTATCCCTCGATCGGAGCAGAAGTTCATCGGTCGGCATAATATTACCATCCTGAACAAGGAGGAGCAGGAGGGCATGAGGAAAGTTTGCCGCCTGGCCCGTGAGGTATTGGATATTGCCGCACGGGAACTGAAGCCTGGTATCACGACCGATTACCTTGATGAGGTGGTTCATAAGGCCTGTGTCGAGCGCAATGTAAGTGGTCGTCTTGATCTGAGGAGTTATTGTAAGCTTGACCATGCCGCTTGATACTGAGTTGCGTCTAGTCCTACCCATCGCCATTGAACTACATGCACTTCCCCAAATCTGTCTGCACGTCGATCAATGAGACCATCTGTCACGGTATTCCCGACCAGCGCCCACTTGAAGACGGCGACATTATCAACATTGACGTTACATTGTATCATAATGGCTTCCATGGTGATCTTAACGAAACCTACTATGTTGGAGACAAGGCTCGGTCAAACCCGGATGCTGTTCGAGTAGTGGAGACGTCGCGGGAGTGTTTGGACAAGTCTATTGAGTTGGTGAAGCCCGGTATGCTGTTTAGAGACCCAGGAAATGTCATTGAAAAGCATGCGAAGAGCCGCAACTGCAGTGTGGTCAAGAGCTACTGTGGCCACGGTATCAACCAGCTGTTCCACTGCGCTCCTAATGTTCCCCACTACGCGAAGAACAAGGCGGTGGGAACTGCAAAGCCTGGAATGTGTTTTACAATTGAGC